ATTTTTGTTAGGAGTAGAAGTTTCAGAGAGAAAGGCTTCATCTTGCTGTAAGAACGAGCTTCTTAATAATCAGAGGCATTGCATAGTAGAATGGTCTGGAGGTGGAGATTTCCTTTCATTTGACATCTATAAGGAAAGGCTGAATGAGTACTTGTCAGTATATTGGGAGGGCATCAGTTTTCAGATAACCAGTCAGATGACATGACCACAGATCCCACTAATCTCTGAATTCTAAGATTCTATGATTTCTGATGACTTCCAATTTGAAGGGTTAGGATGTTTGAGATAGGCCTTGGATGTTGGGTGGGACTTTCAAATGTTGCAGATTTACAAGTTTGGACTCACTTTAAAGTTCCACACCTCTATAAAGTTTAATTTAGCTATATTTCTTTTATTTTGATAATTTAATTGTGTCTATAACCATAAGAAAGGTACCACATGTTTGAACAAGAAGACATTAAGTGGGTATCTGAATATTTATGTATACTCAAAATTATTTTGTGTGTTACAGTATTTTTCCCCCATATTACCTTATTTTTGTTCTGGATACTAATGCAGTTTTTTATTGTGAAGATGAATCTTGAAGCCTCACTAGGTAAAATGTTCATCGTTAAAAGGATGAATGAAGCCCAGGTATCTAGTCCTGATGCATAACTCCATTCCAAAGGAGCCTCATACGGCATCTTGAGCCTGAATTATGCCTCTGTCCTGTTGTAGTAATTGGAGAGTAAAAGGAGGAAGGAAACAGGATCTAGTGGGGTGAAAAATAAAACTGGGACTAATGAAGGAGACTCAGAGCCAGAGATGCTGAACATTAAGAAAAACAGAAAGTGGACAAAAAGACAACAGAGCTGGGATTAGGCACAGTTGTATCTATCTTCTTTAATCCTATTAAGTTTAGCACCATATGAAAGGGTTCAAAGTTTAAGAAACAGAAAGCAATAGCAAGAAATATAGTCAAAAGAAATTTCGAACGCAGAGAGGGAAGCCTGAAGCCAGGATGAAAAAAAAAAAAGTCACCTGTTGAAGGGAATAGTGAAGGCAGGAAAGGTCAAGGAGGGGCCAGTTTTAATAAATAAAAGCAGAATTTGAAATTGAGGCCGAAGGAAACCACTGATGGCAGGGGTCAAAGAGGATGTATTCTGAGTGGGGTAGATGAGCTTAGGAAATGACAGGTGTGCTGAAAAAAGAGGCCATAGGAAGAAAGTGGAAGACTGGAATAGCCTTGAGCACTCTTCCCTTCGAAGAGCTTGCTGTGGGGGGATATGTCAGTTCCAATAATAGGACAGTGAAAAGCCAAGTCATAGTGATGGAAGTGCATACAAGTGAGAAGGAATCATCGAGCAGTTCACAGTCACCTCTTCTCCACCCGGGCTGTCTCTGTTGGATGCCCCGATTTCCCTTCCCTTCCCTCACTCCACAGCCCCTGAGGCTTGGACCAGAAGGTATGTCTGCCTTCTCCTTCACCTTTACAGAACCCAGGATGAGTTGATTAGACGAAGCCTTTGATGAGGAGGACTTTAAATCCAAATTTAATGAGAAAAAGAAATTAATGATTCACAAAGGGGAAAATCTTTTCCCAAGTCTTCCCCATTGTCTGAAGTAATAGATACTATTTACAAACTTGAACAGCTAAGTTCAATTCTGTTCAACAAAAATAGTAGCATACCCTGTCCTTAAGGATTTGCTGGGAGAGACAAAGAGAGTAAGTAGGTAGGTACTTAAACATAAAGTTTATGCAAAGTGATTTCATAAAAGAGTAATTAAATACTTAGAGGGGCAGGTAGATCAAGAAAGGATTCCTGAGAAGAGGCATCTTTGCTGAAGGAAGGGAGAGATGCTAAAAGGTAGAGATGAGGAGGGAATGGATTCTAGACAAAGAGATTACTGGGCTTTCCACTAAAACCTCAGTGCAAAAAGTGGAAACTTGGCAGGCGAAAGTGATGTGGATGCCAGGGGGAACTAAGCATTACTTTGGAGCTGTTTTCAATTTTATCTTCTTCTCTCTTCCCCTCACTAATAAGTTTATATGCTACTTACTTTAATTTGCATGACTAATGAAAATGAATATCTATCTGTGCATAGGCATATATGCATGGGTATGTATGCATAGCTGTATATAAATGTGTGTGTATACACACACACACACACACACACACACACACAGGTTAAAATAGATTCCAATCCAGATGAATAAGTGGAAGAGAAACAGAATAAGATAAGTAAATGAAGAAAAGATAAAAGAAGTATAACCCAAAATTTGTAGAGAAAGAAAAAGAAGAAAACAGAGGCAGTGCTGTACAGGAATTTTTCAAGTGAAGTCAGCAAACATTAAGCTCCTCCTATGGGCTAGGCATTATGCCAAGGTAGGAATGCAAAGGCATAAGAATAATAGTAACAATAAAAACAGAGCCCTAGATCATCAGTAACTCAGAGGCTAATGGGGGAGATAAGTTGCAAATGACTATGTACAAACAAGATAAATTAGAGATAATCTCAGAAGGAAGGTGCTAAGATGAAGAAAGACTGAGAAGGTGGGACTTCAGCTGAGAAACAAAGTAAGCCAGGGAAGCCAGACTGAAAGAGAAAGAAGAAGAAAGAGAGAAGTTCTAGGCATGGGGAGCAGCTGACACAAATGCCCAAGGTTGAGAGATGAAATGTTATGTGCTAGAAATAGTGAGGAAGAAAATGTTACTGTGGAGGAGAGTAAGACGCAAAAAGACTGGAAGGAAGGGGCCAGGTTATAAAGTGCAATGAATCCCAAACAGAAAACTTTGCATTTGATCCAAGAAGCAATTGGAAGCCATTGGTGTTTCTTAAGTGGGTGGTGGGATTGGTATGGACAGATTTGTGCTTTGGGAAGATCAATTTGACAATGAAGGATGGACTAAAGTAAGGAGAAACTTGAGACGGGACCAACTAGAAGGCTATTGCAATAGTCCAGTGATGAGAAATTATGTCAGGGTAGTTGCAATGTCAGGAGAGAGAAGGAGGAGAGTGTAATATAAGAAATAATATGAAAGTTAAAATGACAAGACAGCAACTAATTGAGTATGGGGGAGATGAGAGAGGTATTGAGAATGACATCTAGGGTGTGAGTCTGAGTGACTGGGAGGATGGTTGTATCTTTGATAATAATAGGAACGTTAGGAAGAGAAGAGGGTTTTGGGAAAAGATAATGAGTTCAGTTTGGGGCCATGCTGAGTTTAAGTTGTCTATGAGACATCCAGTTTGATACACCTAATACACAGTTGGAGATATGAGATGGGAAGTCAAGAGGGAACTTAGGGCTAGAAAACTAGGTCTGTGAGTCATTTGCATAGAGATGATAACTGAATTCATAAGAACTGATAAGATCACCAAATTAAATAGTAGAGAGAGAGAAGAAAAAAAAAAGAACCCAGTACAAAAACCTGTGGAATCCCCACAGTTAGCAGATTTAACTATATAAATATATGCTATTCTATCTCCCATCCTTGACTTTGCCCAGGCTCCCAACCATTCCTGAAACAGCATTCCTCCTAACCTCCCTCTCAAGGAATCCCTATTTTTCTTCAAGGCTCAGTTCATGTTCCGCCTTAACTAGGAAGTCTAGTCTGACCCCACCAGTTGCTAATGCTTAACCATCATTAGACATCAAATGGCTAATGCCATCGTATATTACTTTGGATTTCCTATCATTGTTGTTCCTTCATTTTCAGTCATGACCCCATTTGGGGGTTCCTTAGTAAAGATACTGGAGTGGTTTTCTATTTCCTTCTCTAGCTCATTTTACAGATGAGGAATCTGAGGCAAACAGGATGAAATGATTTACTCAGGATCATGTAACAGTAAGTTGTCTGAGGCTAGATTTGAACACACACATATGCGTGTGTATGTATGTATACATATGTGCATATATATATGCATATACATATATCAGTAACCAATCCAAGTAAATAATAAGGAACAGGAGTTACTTCCAGTTCCCTGGACCTCCCCCATGCACATAGATGTAAACAGACATGTATACATGTACATGTGTGTATGCATACATTTAATGTGTATATACTTTAATTTTCTGTACACACATTATTTTCCTCAATAGACTCAAGAAGTACCTCGAAGATTGCTTCATTTTTCTCTTTATTATCCCAAGCACCTGCCATATCATAAATATAATAGGGGCTTAAGAAATGCTTGGTGAATAACTGAATGAACGAATAGATCTCTAAGCGAGAAGAATGTCTTTATTCTTTCTCACTTGAAGGTCAGTATGTTTCCATTGCTGGGTAAAATTGGATGAAGTGAACTGGCAGTAGTTCTTGCTCCTTATTATTAACTTGAATTGATTGTATGTATACATGTACACACATACACATATGTGTGTGCACACATAGGTACGCATATGTGTACGCATATGTATATGCATTGTGTATATTGACCATTTAAAAATTAATGACCCATTCTGTCTAAAAGGGAGGAGGGAACCAAGTTGCTGCTTCCTCACATGCAAATATCTCTACCAGTTAGGGAACAACAAGGTAAGAGGGGAGTCAAAAGGAGCATCTTTTTTCTCTGTGGTCATTGACTGGTCATCACAGGTCTCTGCAGATTGCATTATTGGCATTTGGTCCCTTTCCTTGACCTCCCCCACCCCCACCTCCTGCTTTGTGATAGCTTCTGCTGCCCCTCAAACCAGAAATTTTGGTTTTGGGACTAGTATCCAGAACACCATGGGGATAATTAGTTTTGGATATTCCTGCTTCCTGTAGTCAGCCATGAAGAAAATGCTTGTCCAGAATTTGTCCTAGGATTTTTGTTTTTTGCTTTTAACCTACCAAAAAGGCATCCTTTTAATAAAATCTGAGTCAGATTCCTTCTAAAATGTGGGTGTGCCTACTGGTCTCTGGTCGATGAAGAACGATGACACCTAGCTTTCCAGGGCTGTGCCATCTGGTACTGGGGCAGCAAAGATATGGCGCTCTTAGGTAACTTCATCTTTCTACTTCTTGTTTCAGTACCGGATACCAGTTTATTTACTATTCACCTGAAAACACAGCGAAAGCGAAGGAAGTTCTCGGCAACATTGATCAACTCCAGCCCCTCATATCAACCCACGCAGATGGGCTGCTTAATTCTGCCAGCCAGCATTCTCCAGACAGCCTGAAGAATTCTTTAAAGATGCTTTCAGAGAAAGTAAGAATCAAATTGTAGCTAGAATGTAGCATGGTGGGAAAAGGAGGGGGAAATATAATAATCAAGTCCCTACTGAGCTTTCTTTCTGTATGAATTGCCAATCATAGCAATGGGAAATGTTAAATATGCTCGTTTGAAAAATAATCTTGAAAGCATTACTGAAAGATGGGAAGGGACTAGTTTTATACCTGATTCAGATAGTAGGGAGTATTTTTCCCCATACAGAAAATGAAACCTTTTCGAGACTCAGATTTATTTTCTCTTTTCTTATCATCACTGTCATTTCCTTCCTTTGGTCATGGCTTTTGTGACATGAGTGAATTCACATTGGAATCTTTTTATTAGTTTTATTCCTTTCCTATGGTGATCATCCAAATTGACTAAGTATGAGCAACTCTGTATGAAAATAGAAATGTCTTTGCATTCAAAACAGAGAAAAAAGGGTGCCTTGCTTTTTGATCCTTGTTCTGTTAGTGGCTAGAGCATATCTTCTAACTGCTGTCTGCTTCAGTTTTTCTCTCTACCAAAGTAGGCTAAGGCTATAGATTTACAGCTGGAAGGGTACTTACATATCACCGAATTCAACCCCCTTCCCTTTTCCATATGAGGTAACTGAAGCCCAGCTAGGGAATGTGACTTTCTCAATGTCACACATCGTTGCACAGTAAAGCTATAATACTAATCTAAGTCCCCTGACTCCTAAAGTTGCTGTTATACCACATAAATAAATATTAATTTAGTGTTTGAGAAAATGTTGAAAGGCAGGATTTTCTGCTGGAGGCCTACACAGTTGCCTGCAGAGATTAGAAATAGCCTCACGGGACAAATGAAACTATTGGAACTCAGGATGTCTGTTTTAGGTCTTCCTGAAAACCAAGTGCAGGAAACATCAGCAAGGAGAAGCAGCCAAATAAGCCCATCATCACAGGGAGGTTAAGTGATTTGTCTAAGGTCATAGAGCTGATAAGTAGCTGAAAGGAGATTCTAACAAACTTAGGTCTTCTGACTCCAAAGCTAGTTCTTTTTCTACTGTGCTGCATTGATTAATATTCACGTAATGTTGGAGAAGCTATGCAAAGTACAGCATAATTTTCTAGTAGGGACTTGTATAATTGCCTGCAGAGATCAAAAACTGTCTGCCACTAACAAAATATGTGCTTCAGGTCTCCCAGAAGACTATGTTTTAGAAACATCAGCCAGGAGAACCAGTTAGAGAAACTACCCTGTAGTACACAGGCTCCTAAGGAAAAGAGAGGTGATAAGTGGGAAACTAGCCTAATGCAGTGGGAATGAAGTCCAGGTATGGGACTGCATTATAATGAGAACACATTTTTGTTGAGTACTTTTGGTGAGAGATCCCCTGTGGAAGGACATCCAAGATAGCTCTGTGGGACGGAAGGATGGTGCCACAGCAAGGCTCTGGTGTAATGCTGGGTAATCCCTTCCCAGCAATTTTCTAAATCACACAAGTGATTTAGACTTTTTCAGTCATGTTTATCTCATTGGTAACATGAGGATAATAATAGTACCAAGACCAAGTAGTTATTATAAGGATGAGGTGAAATCAGACTGTCAGGTATGTATTAAGTGCTCATTATTTCTTCATTCGTTCATTCATTCGTTTATTTATTTATTTGGTGTATGGCACTGTGGTAGGCACTGGGGATGCAGAGACCAAAATGAAATGGTCCCTGTCCTCGAGAAGCTTATGCGCTCTTGAAAAGGGTAGGGAACAATAAATAATATAAACACAGAAAAGCAAATGTAAAAACATATATGTATACATACATAAGCATATATATATATATGTAGATACATGCATTTACACATAATATATATACATGCATATACAGACAAATATATATAAATATATACATTCATACATATACACACATATAAATACATATATACACACAAATGTATATAAATACATATACACACAAATATACATATATTCACAAATATATATATACATATACATACATATACACACAAATAGATATACACACACACATACACACGCACACATACATACATGCATGTTTATACAGGCACTTTTTCATTTTGGTCTTTGCGTCCCCAGTGCCTACCACAGTGCCATACACCTAAAATAATAAATGAATGAATAAATGAATAATTGAAATAAATAATAGTAAATATAAACACACAGACATATAAGTATTTATGAAATAAATAAATTCTGTTGGGACTTGGTTGGTGAGGGTACAAACAATCAATTCACTTCATGTAGGAGGTGGTACTTGGAATCCAGCCTTGGCCACTTACTGGCTTTGTTACCCTTGGCTCTCTGGGCCTCAGCTTCCCATCTATAAAATGAGGTGGTTGGACTAGATGATCTCTAAGGGCCCTTCCCATCTAAATCTGTATTATTGTGATTCCATGAGTTGGAGGTAAAGAGGGAATGCATTCCAGATTGTCTGGAGAATGTGCAAAATCTTGGAGACAGGAATGAAATGTCACACATGGGAATGAACAGATAGAGTAGTTTGACTAGGACGATGAGTTCACAAAGGAGAGTAATGTATAATAAGCCTGGAAAGAAATTCTGAATTCAGAATGTAAAATATAATAAATTTAAAAACAGGAGTTAGTATTGTTTTCTCTGTAGGTAAGAGAAAGTCATTGGAGCTTCTTGAGGTGAGGAGTGAAGTGATCATATCTGTATTTTAGGAATATCAGTTTGGTAGCTATGGGGGAAAATGGATTAGAGGGGAGGTTACTGGAGTCAGAGAAATAAATTAGGAGGCTATTGCCTGAACAAGGGGATACTGGACTTAAAAATCAGGAAGACCTACCTCCAAATTTCATCTCAAACACTTAGAAATTTTGTGAGTCTGGATAAGTCACCTTCCTTCCCTGTGCCTCAATTTCCTCATTTATAAAATAAGGGAGTAGGACTCAAAGGCCTGTAAGATTTCTCCCAGCTCTCTGTCTACACTCCTTTGATCCTATGAATGTTGTGAATGGGGATACACAAGAGAAAATAGTGTAGGTAGTATTAACTGGGCTTGGCAACTGTTTGGATACTAAAGATGAAGGAAAATGGTCATCAATAGCTCCAAGGTCTTCCAGAAGGAAGACAGAAATCAACAGAAATAGGAAAGTTAGAAACAGGGGAGGATTCATTGGAAAAAGTAATGAGTTACGACAGGTTGACCTTGAGATACCTATGGGTATTCAGTTGTAAAGGGTAGACAGTAATGTGAGAGAGGACTAAACCAGGGGTAGGGAACCTGCAGCTTCAAGGCCACATGTGACCCTCTCTCTACATCCTCAAGTGTGGCCTTCAGTTTGCTCTAGAATTTGTTTAGAGCCATTTTTACAGGTATTGGGAGGGGTTTGGGGGAGAGCTCAAGCAAGTCACTGCTTTTACTCTGCCATCTTGGCTCTGTCCCCTTGTGGCCTTCAGTTTGGATTCAGTCAACGGACTGCACTTGAGGACTTAGATAACCACATGTGGCCTTGAGGCTGCAGGTTCCCCACCCCTGGAATAGACCATCCTCTGGATAGAGATGACCATCAAACCCATAAATGGCTGTGTATGTAAAGCCCTTTACAAACGCTGTATAAATGTGACCTGTTAAAATTATTATTCAACTTCCTGAAAAGAAAATTTAACAGCTACCTCCGAGTACTCAGAACTAGCATAATTTTGAGTGCTTAAAAGATGTAACTTCTTATTAACATTAGTGATGATGAAACATTTCTCAGCTGCATGAATTTTTGGAAATATAATGTGGTTTAAAATTCCTTCAGGTATTTGTGTGTGTGTTGTGAGACACTACAGACACAGAAACCCGCTTAACACATTAGATTCTAGCTGCTGACAAATGTCTGTGGCAGAGGGCAAAGGAGAGAAGAAAGAGAAGATTGTTTTAAGACAGAAGCACTACAAGATGAAGGTGGGGTGGCAAAATCAACTAATTAGAGCTCTTTGTTAGATTTCTTCAGCCTCTTAGATTCGGTGAGATTTTTCTGGGTGCACCTAAGCTGAAAATTACAGCCAATACCGTATCCATGCAGTGATTACCAAGCAGTATTTATATTCTTCCTGTGCACTGGGCAGGGATTTGTCATTTCATACATCATTTACAACTTACTGCAGTGAGTGATTCTTTTAGGGGGGTTATTTTTCTCCTCATTTAATTCAGCAGTGCTCAAACTTTTTTCCCTTCCTTTTTCTTCCTTTGACTATATTACCTTTACCTACCAACAAATCTGTCAGCACTTGAAACTACAAGGAGATTTTTTTTTTAAGTTGTCTCTGTCAGATATTTCCTTTTTCTAGGATTTCATGCCTGGAATTGCAAAGAACCTATTAAGTTAAACAAACTCTACATAGCATAAGATTTCTGTTAGTAGATTCAGAGATAAAAACAGAGAGATTCTGTTTATGTAGTGTAGCAAAATTGGTTTGGGGCAGAATTCGCTATTTGAACATATACTATTGTTATGACTTACGGTGCAATAGAAATATGATTTTTCAAGTTTCAGAGTTCTGTCTCTGTGTGGAGAAAAATATGGACATTCTTACCTCATTGATGTATTTTTTATTTTTTCTTTAAGGTAGAGCTGATATATGTATAAGTCACAAGATTTAGAGCTTGAGGGGACCTTAGAAATCATATAGAGCAACCCTCTTATGTTACAAATGAGGAAACCGAAGGCCAGAGAGATAAAGTCTTTTGCTTAGTTTCACGTGGCTTGTAAAGCCAGGAATCTAACAAATTTCCCCACTTCAGATCCCTGACTCTTTCCACTAAACCACGTTATCCTTCACCAGAAATTGGCTTATATTTTTAATTTAAAAAAAGAGGCTAACTCATTTGTATAGACACACAGAGAGACTTAAGATGATTATAACTTTAAGGAGAGGTTTTTCTAACATTGTTCTCTAGACACAAAAGCTTTTGTCTAATAATGAGAGAATTTACTTTTTACCTATCATGCTTTTTGACATGACTATTAGATAGATAATG